ATATTGGATGTGAATATGCCAACTTTGTGCTCCTTTTGTTTACGCTTACGTGAAGTTGATGCTTAGATGCCGATGTAAATATCCCAGCCACGTGGGGCAGTTCCTTTTAAGTAGATGCTTACATATCGGATGTGAATATCCCAACTTTGTGCTCCTTTTGTTTATTTTCGGGTTGTTTTCCTTATGTGAAAGATATCGACGATTTATTATTGGTCGTCAAATTGTTTCGTGCTTATCTCTTTCGTTCGCGAGACTTTGTGGTATGAAAGCCTCTTTCCCACGCTCCACCCCGACCACCCAACTTTCATATGTTTTGGCTTGTCCTTGTTCTGCGTGTGCCGCCCCGTTTTACGGTTCACCCCCTCTGCTTGTCTCGATTGAATGCTGTCTGTTGGCTCCTTATGATAGTTGCGAACTTGTTCTCCATTCGGAAACCAATTATCGCCAGAATGTATATGTGCTTGAAGTTGTTTTACGGATTCAGCGATGCACTGAGTGATCACCAATTTTGTTATTCCCGGAATACATCTCGTGCTCTCCACGGAATGCTGGCTGTTGTTTCCGTATGAGAAATGCGAACATATTCGCACTTCTGTAATTGAACTATTGGTTCCATGTGAGAAATGAGAACATATTCGCACTTTGGCTCCATGTACTTTGTGATATTTGGAAAGCCCTCGTGCACTTTGCAATGTGGGATTGTATGATATTTCGCATTCAATGACTTTTTGAAACATCTCTGTGTGTTTTGCAATTTGCGCTCGAATGAATTTTCTGCATTGAATGTTTTCTGGTACCTGTTCGTGTGCTGTGAGACTTCACCTTTGGAAAAACACTAGGCAACTTGAGATGTTTTCCCCTCGATGTTTGCGATGTCTCTGTGTGCTTTGCATTTGACTTGTGCTTGAAGTTGTTTAACAGATTCAGCAGTGCGCTAAATGATTGCGATTTTTGTTATCCCCGGAATACAACTCGTGCTCTCCACTAGATGATGGTTGTTATTTCCGTATGAGAAATGCGAAAATATTCGCACGTTGGATGCCGTGCATTTGTGATTGAACTATTGGTTCCATATGAGAAATGAGAACATATTCGCATTTTGGCTCCATGTACTTTGTGATCTTTGGAAAGTCTCCGTGCACTTTGCAATTTGGAGTTGTGTGATATTTTGCGTTCAATTTGGAAAGTCTCTGTGCTTTTTAATTTGCCCTTGAATGAATTTTATGCATAGAATGGTTTCTGGAAACTGATCCTCTGCTCTGAGACTTCACTTTTGGAAAAACAGTGCGCAACTTGAGATGTTTTCACCTCGATGTTTATTCATCTCGATGTTTGCGATGACAAGAGATAATTGTATGAATGAATATGAATCTTCCACACAAAAAAATTTGAAGGCGTTTTCAACCTGTGATATAGAAATGACAAGCCAATGTCCATATTAAATCGTCGCGCTGATGGACTGCGCAACTGCTTCTCCATCAAAGTGCGAGTTCAATCGCACTTCTGGTGTGAGCCCTGAGGAATTCCCTCGCACTTTGCTTCACGTCGAGGAGGGGATCGAACGCACCGCCTGTAAGCACATGCACATCACGAAACAAGAGCACGTTCCAGTTGGAACATCGTCGGGTCCTCACCTCATCGACCCTCAAGATGACTACAGCCAACAGCAGTAGGATGCCAGGTCCGCCTACCCGATGTGGATCTCATGGTGGAGTGCGAAACTCTGCTCTCAAAGATCCACACCGGGTAGAAGGTCCTACAAGCAGTCGGTGCTTGCTTGTAAGGCATCTTATGATGTGTCGATATGACAGACATCCAGAACTGCTTAGTGAGCATCTAGTGCTACAACAATATGTTCCAAACACGGCATCAAAGTCCCCTGACAGTGTTCTTTGCCGGGTCCTCACCTCGTCGACTCCCTCAAGATGACTACAGCTGACAGCGGTAGGATGGCAGGTCCACCTATCCGATGTGGATCTCACAGTGGAGTGCGAAACTCTGCTCTCAAAAACCCACACTGGGTAGAAGGTCCTGCAAGCTGCCGCTGCTTGCTTGTTAGGCATCTTATAATTTGTCGATATAACCGACATCCAGAACTCCTTGGTGAGCAACTAGTGCTACGTCAATAAGTTCCGAAAACACGGCAGCAAAGTCCACTAAGAGTTTTCTTTGCCGGGTCCTCACCTCATCGACTCCCTCAAGATGACTACAGCTAACAGCGGTAGGATGGCAGGTCCACCTATCCGACGTGGATCTCACGGTGGAGTGTGAAACTCTGCTCTCAAAGATCCATATCGGATAGAAGGTCCTGCAAGTAGCCGCTGCTTGCTTGTAAGGCATTTTATGATGTGTCGATATAACCGACATCCAGAACTGCTTGGTGAACATCTAGTGCTGCGCCAATATGTTTTGAACACGACCTCAAGGTCCCCTAAGAATGCTTTTGGCACTGGAGTTATCTGACCGCCGACTGTTTGGCACTTCGTGAAGGTTGACACTTCTTGAAGGTGGTCTACCACTTCTTAATGGTGGTCAGTCACCAAACAGATCACGACCTGACATCGACCTCGATAACTGCGAATTGACTCGCTGTTCAACTAGAGTCTCTCTCTCTCTCTCTCTCTCTCTCTTTCTCTCTCTCTCTCTCTTTCTGTCCTCTCTCTCTCTCTCTCTCTCT